CCAAAATGTCGTGCTAATCATAAATTTGAGAGTTGTGTAAAAAACTCTCTAATACAGTGTTATTTGTTGTTTCAAATTTATCATATACTATATTTTGTGATAAATTTACCACCAAGTATAACATATGACAAACTTGGTATTTGACTGTTATTAATTGATATGTTTATTTTTTCATGTAATCATTGCAGCATTCACATTTTTTAATTATATTAGATAATTAAGAGTTTTACTTTTACCACTTTCGAAGCTTAATCATAATGGTAAAAAGTGTATTTAACATTTGAAATAACATTATGTATTGGAGAAGAAATAAAAGTAATATGTCAAATATACTATTATCACATTTTTTAATACTAAATGTTGGGCGGCATTTTCGGAAGCATTAAATGCGTAATAAATTCAAAAGCTCTCCCGAGCCCAATCTACTCCAAACCTAAATATGCCTAAGCCTAATCTCTCCCGAGCCTAAATACGCCTAAGCCTAAGTTCATTGGAGCCCAAATTCACCTAAGCCTAAGTTCGCCGGAGCCCAAGCTCACCTAAGGCCAATCTCGTCTAAGGTCAATCTCTCCCAAGTCCAAGCTTGGCGGAGGCCAATCTCTTTCGAGCCCAAGCTTGCCAAAGCCCAGGCTCGCCTGAGCCCAAGTTCTTGGCTTGAGCTGAAAGTTCAAAGGTTGTGTGATGTCATCATGTGAAGTAACCGACGCTAATTGAAGAGATTGAATGATTGAAAATTAATTCTCATTGATCATTTATCAGTTTTAACTCACAAAAAAGTGAAGAGCCGAGAGAGTAAACTCTCAAATTAATGAGAGAACTCAATCTTATTGTACTATAAATTGCTTCAATTTGAGAGGAAAATGCACATGCACTCATTTTTGAATACAATTACCTTGTGATTTATCTTCATTTGTTCTTATTATTTTTTTAGAGGTTAATTGTGTTCTTAGAGTGTTCATCCAATTTCATTAGATTACTTGTTTATTTAATCTAAATTTCTCGTCTAAGGACGTTGGTAAAGTGTTAGACGAAATTTTACTATACAACTACAATTAGCAATTAACATTTGCATTAAAAATGATCTAACTGTACAAAAATTTGACAGGAGATATGACTTCGTCTATCCTGATGTAGTCACGGAATCGAGATGAATTTAAAATGTTTAAAATGTGTACTTCATTATAACATTGTTTAAAATATCCATTAACGTAGTGGAAGAAAAAAAAGGGAATGTCGATTAATATACGATTTCGTTGTCGACAAAACTTGTGATGATAACTTTGTTAGAACATAAAAACTGATTTTAACTTACTCTCTAAATTGCTTAAAGTTCTGTCTCAATTGAATTGATAAAATATAACATAGTCTTAAAAAAAGAAAAGAAACAAAAAAACAAAAGAAAACAAACACAGAAACGTATAGTACGTATTCAGATTCTTGCAAAATTATAAATTAATTCTGTTTAACTTCTTGATTAAAATCTAAGTTTTTAAGACTTTGAAAGGAAAGTGGTCAAATATATATGTATATGTATGGACGAGTTTTTCAATAACTACGTTTATATCAGTGGTTATTATTAAATATAGAAATTTAATGACATAACATGAAAAGAGTTTAGTTTTATTAATTGTCAAAAATATATATATAGGTATGGTACTTATAATAGTTACTTCAATATTTACATATTATATGTGGGTGTAGTACTGTGTGATAATATTTTAATTATTATAATTATAAATTAGGTAGTTGATTATGTATGATAATTATATTGAATTCTTATCACTCCACATTATTAAATTTTTATATTTAATGGATAACTATCGATATAAATGTAATTATTGAAAATTTATCCATATTTATGTATGAGTAGGATGGTATACATACATGTGAGGAGAAGAATTTAGGCGCTATGATGAGTCATGCATGCGCATGGTCCTGTTCATTTCACCGATTCGAGTTTTGCTACAGTAAAAAGCTTTCAGAAACAGTTACATCTAACTTTTTTGCTACAGTAAAAAGCTCTCACATAAAGTTACATATCAACTCGAATTAAAAGCTCGAATCAGCGAACTAAACGGGTCATTATAATATCCTAATTCATTTTCGTTACATCTTCTTACGATACTTCCATAATTGCAAGCTGTGTCTAAGCGTAACCACCTGAATTTATTTATTTTTGGTCGACGTGGAAGAGGAGGAGACGGGATATCGGTAGAAAATATTTGTGAGGGTGGAGAAGAGTGATCTTCTGATTGCTCCAAATTAACTTGAAAAATCTCAATTACGATGATTAAAACGACAATTATCATCGCGATTACCGTCCTCCTAAACCCATTGGCCATCGCTTAATTATATCAAACTTCCTTAATTAACTGTTATGGAATTACTCTTTTGCTCTATGGAAGTATGAATGGAACGATGAAGAACCCAAGGTATTTATATGGAGAATCTCTTAAACTTTATTTTGTTGTTTTTCATTAGTCTCTGTTAGCATTAATTAATGAAAGTTTACGATTTGTATTTGCGTCAATGGTTTATTTTATTTCAAATAGCGGTCAATAATAATTGATCGGTAATAGTAATCTTTTCTATTAAAATTAAATTTCACGTACGCATGAAGGTTTTATTCATTTTACCGATTTGAGTTTTTAATTTTAATTTTACTACAGTTAAAAGTTCTAATAAAAAATCACATATAATTTTTTTGTTACAGTTAAAAGCTCTCATATAAAGTCATATCTCAACTCGAATCGGCGAACTGAACAAGACTAAAGACTAACTATTAAATGGACCCACCAGCGTACATGGACTTTTGAAAGTGATTTGAACAAAGCATTCTTCTTTTAAAACTTAATTTATTAATAAATATACATTAACCGTCTGTGTAGTACCTAAGGGAAAAAAGTAGATCATAGTATTAGATGAGCACAAATATATCTATATATATATATATGTATATATTTTTATAGATCATTGCACTAATATATAAGACACCATACACGGGATTACAATTTTTGCAATCGTTCAAAGGCCACAAAAGTGATCCCTGTCATCGTGTTAATAACTCTGATGATGCTCCATCTCATGAATTCACATAAACGTACATTGATTATAAATGATTTTATTACTTCTATACGTCATAAAACATATTTTGAAATGAACTCATTTCATCAGGAACAAAAAAAAAAAAAATATTAAAACATATTTTGACTAGAGTAAACTTTCTGTTGTGCTATATCTATGTTTTTTTTTTAATAAGAAGGGAAACTTGCATTTTAAGGACCTGTTTGTTTCATATACTCAAACTCAAATAATTAATTCTGTTACAGTGTTTTTCAATCACAAAAATTTAAATTTTAAATGTCAGAATTAAGAATAATAATTTGAGTTTACCTTTCAAACGGACTCTAAATTAAAGAAATACAACTACTAATACAAATATAGACGACCCTAAAACATAAAGACTATTAACCCTGAATATTAACCGGATCCACTATAAATTCAAATGAAACGCTTTACGAACAGAAACATGCACTGAGTTAGGCACACTAAATACCGAGGACATACTAGGCTCGAACATCACAACCAATAATCACTTGCCACGTGTCCAAGATCGACTTTGGGACCCACAAGGTCAAGTGTGCTATGGGGTCGAGCTAGACTCTACGACCACCGTGTGATTGAGCTATATCCCGAAATCACCGCGCTCTCGAGCTCTAGTTAGACCTGAAGACCATCATCAGATCGCGCTAGAGCCTATGGCCATGATGACCATCAAATTGCTTAAAGCCTTGAGCAGAAGTACGAAAGATAGAGACAATATTCCCATGGTCCATGGCGCATAAGCACATGATCAAAGTGTTGCAAGTTATGAGGAACCTGATTACTTCACACTTTTTCTTGTCGCTTGCGGTTCGACAATGAGGTCAACAACGAAGGTTCAAGGGCAGTAGTCCCTGAAGAGATTTTTCTTTTTTTCTTTGTTTTTGGAGTATTTGGCATTTGACATGTGTAGTGATTCGTCCTATTTGTCGTGGTATATAGGGGCTTCTAGGGAAGCTATTTTCGGAGCTATTTTAGGTTGAGCAACAAATAGATTGAGAGTGATTTCGCCCAAAAAAATAAAATAAAAAAGAGATTGAGAGTGACATTTCGAGTTGATTGTATTTTATATTTCTTCTGATTATAATGAATTTTACAGTGACAAGTGGACACAACTTTTACATAGAGTGAATTACCACTATAAATCCTATTTGTACTCAATTTCATTTCATTCCTTTTTATTTTTTAAATTTCTCGCTTCGAATAGTAAAAATTGGGGCTTTTAAATCTTAATTCGATTAATCCTTGCTTGACTCCAAAATAACAAAACAACATTGACATCTTCAGACATGTCCTATAATAAATTTATATTTCACTACTCTAGACACACATTGCACTTTAGTAGCAAAATTACTATTTATAATAATTGTATTACTTTCTAAAAAAAAAAAAAATTATATATATATATATATATACACACACACACACACACACACATATATAAAGAACCCTGCTGCAATCTTCGAAAGATTTACAGTATTAACTCATTAGTTCCTTCAACAATGGTGGTAGTTTGCTGTGTTACTAAAAATAATCTTTCGTTTTACTGGCGGTAGTTTGTTGTCTTACCGGTGGATGACTATCGCCGTGATTACTGGTCATATCCTACAGTAAAATAGTGGTAACCTGACAGAATACTAAGATATATAAAATATATATAGCTTGAACAACGGAAAAAAATTAGCCAGAAAACCTTGCAGACGATCACGGGACAAAGAAGATCCGATAGGAATACCTGGACGAGATACCTCTGGTTGGAAAAAAAAAGACGCACTAATGCTAGATTTGCAAAAATTTGAGCTCGGCAACCTCGAAGACAAGTTCATTATGGTGATGCTACAAGCAAAATATATAAGTAACAACTATGGCAATCAAGAATAAAAGAATTTAATAAATTCTACATGACATTAAATAATAATAACAAAATACATTCTTTCTTACTAGAAACTGCTAACTAAGCAAACGCATATTAAAAGACATGAGATTGAGTCTTGTTTTTTTTTTATTTTTTTATTTTTATCTCTACGAAGTACTTCTGCATTCAGGAGGGAGACCTTGGGGAAACCTCTTGGTGTCCGTACAGTAATTGTATATCATGTAGTTCTTCTGCACCCATCTCAGCCTCTCTTGACTCGCATTGTCGAGCTCTTGCGAAAGCCATGCATCATTCGATGAAGAAGAACCGTGACAAGACGATGATCTGGAGGACCTAACGCAAGTTTTGGCATTGAAGTTTCTGTATGAAGCAGTGAAAGGAGCTTTGCTCCAGTCTGTCTTCACAAGTCCACCTCTTGTGGCCCAATCATCCGCGTTCCAAAGGCTCGAGTATATTCTCATTGGCTGGCTCTTTGGAAACGGGACGCCGATTGGTTCTGAGTTCTTGAACTCTCTAATGGGAGTGCCATCAGCGTAGAATCTGAAGCATGCGATGAAAACGAATAAAGTCAATCCAAGTGAAAATAAGAAAACTAGGATTTCAAGAACAAAATTTTTTTATCGGTATTGACCGATGCTATGCAGTGATTTTTACTAGACCGTGATCCTACTAAATGGTATTGACCAAGGCTATCTATGACTATCAGACTTTTATTAACCAAATCATAAATTCACATGTCAATTTTAAAATTTATGCGTACTTAGCCGTGAAGATCTCACAATTTGGTACGCAGAGAATATATTTTTATGGCCAATAATTTGCCTATGCTTAGTATTTATGTGATCCAATAAAGTGACGTGATAATATGTGTTCGCCAGACTACTACATGAGAACGTGACTGAACTAAATGTTAGTAGTAATACATAAGATAATAGAGCAAGACTTACACAATACGTTGGGGGTTCCAGAGGATAGAATAGGTATGAAAATCAGCCGTTGGGTCAAACCAGAGATAGAATTGTTGTTCTCTATTCCCCTTGCCATGGCTAAAGACATTGGTGTGGAGTATGTAAGGATCGCCACTCAAATTCCCCAAGAACTCGAAATCTATCTCATCCCAAGCCGACCCTTTTGAGGACAGCTAAAACCACAAATATCTAAATCAATATATGTGAAAAACAATAAAAAGGGTTTAACAAGAAACGTCGAAGAAAACACTTGGCAAATTGAACAGCTTACATAATATGCAGTGACAGTTCCGGCAGAGTTTCCCGGCACAAGCTTGAGCTGCATATCGATTTTCCCGAATAAGTACTCATGCTTGGATTGAAATCCCGAGCCCGAGGCTTTGTCAAGCGAAAGAGTGAGAAGCTTTCCCTCGTTTAATATTCGAGCTCGTCCATTTCCCCATGTAATCTCGAAATCCCGGTGGAAGTTGCCGCAACATGAAATGATCAACGAGCTAAGAACAAGAAGTGGCATCAACATGAGAAGGGAAGAATCCATAATATGATATCTAATAAGATCAATGAAGAAGCTTTAGTCTTTTTAAGTGGCTTAAGTTTGAAGTGAAGAAGATGAGTTGCTATGTGATGATCAACTTAATTGGGTTGGTACTATTTATAGTTGGTGGAAGTGAAAGTTTGCATGGGAAGTGAAAAGCATAGGAAACAGGTGGGAAAAAGTATGTGGTATATGCATGCTAAGCTGTGGACAGTTGTTTGGCTTGCGAGAAAGTGTAAAATAATAGCTGTAAAGATAGCACTATGAAATCATGTTATGCTAACTAACCCAATTAATTGTTTGTATTATGCTCTTTTTTGACACTATTTTTGAGAGCAAGGACTTAGCTAGCTGCTGATGGTTGATGGCTGCTCTGTTCCCATCAGCATGCTGAGCACCAGCTTAGCTAGATTCCAAAAGAATGCAATCATAGTTATCAGCAACAACTTGGGCACTATAAGACAAAATACGTGCGTTAACAAATATGAAAATAACACCTGATCAGAAGAAAGTAAAAAAAATATCACATGTTGCTATGCAAGTAGTGGATAAGGATTAAAGGAATTCACAAGAATAATGATAAGGGATTTTCATGTGTCAAGACAAACTGTACTGTTATTGGTGTTTAGGATTCCTTTGGTAGTTGGATAACAAGGCACTCACATCATGTACCACAGTCTGTCCATAGTGAAAATGTTTACAATCCATAAGGGTCACATATAACATTGGTAAATAAGTTCAACAATTTAAGAGGTGCCGATGCTGTTAGGCACCACACACTAATAAAAGTGGCTCTTATAACATACGACATACATCTTTTATTATTAGTTGTGGATTTTAGCATTAGTGGTACCTCAAATATTCGTCAAATAAGTTTGATACAGTTATTATCTCTTCTTTTCAAAGAAAAAAAATTATTTATTTACCTGATATGGACACTGAGACAACATGCAAAAAGTTACAAGAACATAAGAGATATAACCCAACTGTGACCAAAATAGATCTTATTGATATTTACTCATGTGCCACATGAACAAAAGCAGATTAACTAATATCAAAGAGAAAAGAAAAAAAAAAAAGGAAAAGAAAGCAAAGCAATAAAACTGGGTCCAATTTTTGTACCTATCTGCGTCAACTCCAGTAGTAGCCTTGGATTGTGACGTAAATAGTTAAGAATTTCTTTTGAAGAAACCTCTCCAGAAAGTCACAAGAAGTTGCTGCCTTAAGAGAGATCTGATTTCAGCCTCAAGTGAAGAAAAAATTGTGCTGGAATTTTAGACGCGCCATCCGTGATCGTCTGAAAAAACTGAATTTATGCCCATTGCTCAAGTCCGCCCACCCGAGAAATTCGGGCTGCCCATCCGAGCTTGAAAATGACATTGAACAAGCTTTGGGCAGGTCTTAGTTGCCCGAAGCCCGGTCGGGCAGCCCGAATAATATATATATATATTATATAATGTGGTTATTAATTGTATTTGTATATAAATAATTATTAAGTTATTTATTGTAAAAATTATATAAAAATTATATTTAAGATTAAAAATTTAAAATCAACACATACTATTTAGTATTAACACAAATCAATTGAGAGATTGAGAGAAATTGAGGCCCCGTTCATTTTACCGATTCGAGTTTAGAATTTGAGTTTTGCTACAGTAAAAAGTTCTTAGAAACAGTCACATCTAACTTTTTTGCTACAGTAAAAAGCTCTCACATAAAATTACATTTCAACTCAAATTAAAAACTTGAATCAGTGAACTAAACGGGTCCTGAGAGAGTTTGGGTGACGAAAATGTTTGGGGGATAGGGGGTATTTATAGGAAAATTTTTGTGTTAAAAAATTGATTTTTTCCCAAATTCGGATCCAAGGGCTATTTCTTGGAATCGGCGGGTCGGGTTCGGGCGAGTTCGGGCCGAAATCGGGCAACGGTAAAAAAAAACTGTTAGTAGTCAGGCTTTTGGGCAGCAATTCGGGTCGGTCGCCAACGTTCAAAAAACTAGGCGTTGATCGGGCTTCGGGCAATTCGGACAAATCGGGCTGGAATTCGTGCCTGAGGGAAAAAAATAATAAAAAAAATTCGGCGGTCGACGATCGGGAGCTTTCCTTCGGTGGCGGGCTTCCGTAATATTAATTTTTCTCAGGCGGCCCGAGCCTGAGCCCGAGCCCGAGAAAGTGATTGAAAGGGCGGCCTTAGGTTCATGCCCGCCGAGCCTGAAAAATTCAGGATTCGGGCAGGCCCGCCGGCCTAAAGTTCCAGCCCTGCATATAACATCGCTAAATAAGTTGAACAATTTATAAGGTGTCGGTGCTCCTAGGCACCACACACTAATAAAAGTGACTCATATAACAGACGACATACAACTTTTATTATTAGTTGTCGCTTTTAGCATTAATGGTACCTTAGTAGTGGCTTTTAGTATTAGTGGTACTTCAAATATTCGTCAAATAAGTTTGATACAGTATATTACCTCTTTTTTTAAAAGAAAAAAATTGTTTATTTATCTGATATGGACCCCGAGACAATATGCAAAAAGTTACAAGAACATAAGAGATATAACCAAACTGTGACCTAAATAGATCTTATTGATATTTTCTCATGTGCCACATGAACAAAAGCAGATTAACTAATATAAAAGAGAAAAAAAGGAAAAGAAAGCAAAGCAATAAAACTGGGTCCAATTTTTGTACCTATATGCGCCAACTCCAGTAGTATCCTAGGATTGTGACGTAAATAATTAAGAATTTCTTTTGAAGAAACCTCTCCAGAAAGTCACAGGAAGTTGCTGCCTTAAGAGAGATCTTAAGAGAGATCTGATCATTTCAGCCTCAAATGAAGAAAAAATAGCAAAAAAGCTTATAATAGTTCCGTCTCATCAACCTTACATACTTTATTAAAATTACTTATTCAAATTTTAGTATCCTAAATAATGTCTAACTAAGATTATTTCACCATGTCATTATTATATGAACATTAAACCATATAAAGGTAAATTAAAAAGCACTTTTAATATTTTTCAATTGCGTGTTATGATCTGATTGCTTGGTTATACATAATTTTAAACACTAAAATTCGACAGCTGCCTCAAAAGGAAATAAACGACAAAAACCATAAAGAAAAATTTTACAACCCAAATGACAAAACGCTTTAATAGACCAAACGACAAGTTATTTAATGGCTTAGGACTCAACATAAAACGACAAGTCTTCAGTGGATTACTCTGCCTCTGCTGGTGCTACGTCAGATTGTCATAGTAACATCCATCGTTTTTAATAAGGCCTCGTTCATTTCACCGATTCGTTTAGAGTTCGAGTTTTGCTACAGTAAAAAGCTCTCAGAAACAATCACATCTAACTTTTTTATTACAGTAAAAAGCTCTCACATAAAGTCACATCTCAACTCGAATTAAAAACTCGAATCAACGAACTAAACGGGCCCTAATATTCATTAATCTCGTTTGGAATAAGTAATATCCATTAGGATTGATTAAGGGGTTGTTTAGTTGTGAAATTCGTACCTCGTTTTGAATCATGATTCATGGTTTATTATAATATTTTCTCTCAAAAACATACACGTAAATAAAAAATAATTCTAATTTATGAACAAAACGTCTCCTAACATTTTGACTTCATCCAAAATTTGATAATCAATCTCAACATTCTTAGTCGAGAAATTCGATCTCTCCATGCATAAAATTATATATACAAGTAACGGTATCTACAAGTAAACAAATAGATAGTCGAAAATGTCTGAACTAAAGGCCAAATTATAAGGAGGAAATTATGAATTGAGCCTATAATTACGAAACTGGCATGGGATTTAAAAAATTGTTCGGCGAAAAAGTACTCTTTAGTAACTTGAGGATGGTAATTTCATTAGACAGAAATAGTTGATCAAAAGTAGCAAAAGAATGTCACTTTGATAGAACATTTATTTCTTGTAAGGATATCATAATGGAAGAGTAAAAACGACACTGATCTTTGGTAATTTCAATGAATTATATGCGAAAGCTATAAATACACGTCGTGTATGAATATGCCTCTATATATAATGAACTTCTTTTCTTTTGATATATATATATATGTATACGTATGTATATATTTAATTAACTATGCGATGGAATGATATATATGATTAATAATCAATCTTAAATGTTACTGAGACTGATATTATAATAGTTTCATATGAGTCCTTAGTTGCTTTGAATAATGAAAAGCTAACTATTATTTAAAATACCATTCCTTGGAAGTGCAGAGCGATATTAGAAGTTAAGCGAAGTCCAAAAAAAATTGTTCATACTAATTATAATTACTCTCAAACAGATTTCTGGAACGAATAAAAGAATAAATTACATTACAAAGAGAATAACTAATCAACCAGTACACCAAAATAATAACACAATAAAAAAAAATTTGTATCTTCTCATCTTTAGGCTATCTTGCATTCTTGAGGAGTGCCTTGTGGGAATCTCTTAGCATCTGTGCAGTAATTGTAGATCATATAGTTCTTCTGCACCCATTTCAACTTCTCTTCACCGGCCGAATCCAACTCCTGAGATAGCCAGGAATTCGCACCGGAGGTCGAAGAAGAAGCGGAATGCGAAGAACAAGAAGAAGCTCCAGAGGAAAAAACACAAGCATTGGCCTTGAAGTTTCTGTATGAGGCAGTGAAAGGTGCTTGGCTCCAGTCTGTCTTGACCAAACCACCTCTTGTGGCCCAATCATCAGCATTCCAAAGACTCGAATATATTCTCATTGGTTGGTTCTTTGGATATGGAACCCCCTTTGATTCTAAATTCTTGAACTTTCTGATTGGTGTACCGTCCACAGAGAAACTGAAACGGGGAGAGAATTTTTCAAAGGTTATGAACAAAGCCCAGTAGGAAAAACTTGATTTTAAGAATGCAAACTTGAAAAAAAATATATATCTGTTAATGGGCACTTACACAATTTGTTGAGGATTCCAAAGGACAGAATATGTGTGAAAATCAGCAGTTGGGTCAAACCATAAATAGAATTGTTGTTCTCTGTTGCCTTTGCCTTGACTGAAGACATTAGTATGAATAATGTAAGGGTCACCGCTCAGGTTACCCAAGAACT